TAGCATCGTGTTGGACGCAACACGTGCACACACACGTGCGTGCTTGATGATTTTCGGTGTCTTTAATGGCGCGGCATCGAGAAGTCAGGATCTGATTTATCGTTTATTGCCGATAATACGTACGAAGGAGTACACGGCCGATCGATCACTCTCTCGCGTCCGAATTATTCGGGATACACATTGCTGCAAACGTTTGAGAAGAGGCAGGGGTACGTAAATGTACATAAACGTTGATATGAATAATGGCGTGTGCAACTTATGCAGAGCGTTCTTGGTAAAACGATCTTGTAATGATTGCTTAGGCATATGAAAGGAAAGATGTATTGCTTGGAAATACATACAAGTCCCTTATTTTGTCGAGGCATTTTGAAAACTTATTTATATCTATAGCGAAAAGAATATTCACCAGAATATCATCACCAGCAAGTTCAACAGTATTTTTCCATATTTTATTATGTTTACTTGATAATAAATTTTACTTAAATTTATTTTTTATTATATTTAATATAATAAACATCAGATAAAGTTCTTGATGTTAAATTATATTCTTGGATTAGTAGTTGAAAAAAATACATTAATTTAAAGTGTAGAAATTCAAACATTATTTTTCTACTGTAATTTGAAATTAATTACATTTCAATTAACTATATAAATATTTAATGCTGGAAATTTTCCTTAAGAGCAAAAATTATTTTTTTCTATGTTATTTGAAGTATTAATAAACTGAAAGACTAGCGATAATTTTGAGATAATTTATAAATCGAATGGCAACTTATGATAAAATCTACATTATTTATATTTAAATGAATAAGTCTATTGAAATCCAATTAGTATAAGGTGCATCGATCATGAGAAGGGTTGATCCAATTACGGATATTCGAAGGTGTAAACTTCTCCCATTAGAAAAAAAAAGTATTTCTGTTCGGGCGAGCTCTGCTATGCATTCTGATCTTTCCACGTACATACACGTACATCCTACATACAGACAGAAGTTCTTTTATAATGAATCGTGATCCAAAAAGATATTGTTGATAGGAGCATCTCGTTGGAAAGGAGAATCCAGCCCATTAGTTACCGCAAGCTTCTCGTCAAACGAGCTTCTGTATAATACGCGATAACATTATGTCTCGTAATAATACACAATATATCGGATGATATATTGATATATTTTTCCCCCTTAATAATTTATCTATCCGCTAAATAATTTATTTTCTTGATAAAAATATTGAAAATTCATTCCAATCCGCGAATGTATCGTAGAATGTGTTTCGGTAGAAAAATAAATGTGTTTTTTCTCTTCTAATTTAAATCTCTCTTAATCTTTCTTAACCATTTTTAACGCTGAATAATTGGTTTAATTATTTCTTCTATTTCAAATTACATTATCTTGTATGGAATTTCAAATATCTAACAATGGGATATGCAGTGCCGTGTATGCATCCACATTTCTGATACCGATCGTCCTTTCCACGTTGCAACAGCCTACGCACTTGGATAAAGGCGACAGAAACGATGGATTGCAACGATGGTCAAAGCTTATTTCTGCAAGATCAACTGACTTCGTAAATACATAGCACAGCAGAGAAAGCGTACTTCATCACATATATTTCATTACATACACTTCTACGTGATTGCAATCGCGCATACCGTGTTAATAGATTACACTATGCGCGATAAATATTTTTGCAATAAATTCTACTCTATGTAACATATGAATTTAACTCGAAATATAACAAATATAACAAGGCTAAATTTATAAACTAAAAACAATGTGATATAATATCATTATATTATGTATTTTAACTCTGCCATACACAAATTCATTCATTACATTCAACAAGAAATACATTGTTTAATATAGGGATTTCTTTTCTTGTAAAAAATTTCTTCATTATTTTAATTTAAAGATCTATTTTAATTTGAAAGAAATTTGAAAGAACAAGAAACAAAATTTGATTCGTAAATTAAATATAGAAGCGTAATTTAAACATATATTATTAATATATTATTAAAAAAAAATAATATTTCTAAACTACATTAAATACATTAAATTGATGCAAAATTGAATTTTCGAAATAGCAATTTACTTTTAATTTAAATCTTTGGAAATACTTAATTTATCATAAAACTTATTTGAATTATATATTTTATTTATAATTCGTACTTATGAAATTTTATTTATAAAAATTATATTTTTATTTCTGAATCTTTTGACTTATGAAATTAATTACGTGTGTTAAGTTTATCCGATATGTATAGCTATTCGTATATTTTGATGACTTGTCTCGAGATAATCCATGGGAAATAATCTGGATGTTGCGCGTAAATTATGTGCGGAGGTGCACTGTTTCACGTAGAACGACATTTTGGCATTCTTGCGGATGCCCTATTTTCGCCGAATTCTTGGCAGCGATATGGTTGAAGAAATTGTCTTCGCGATTCTCTCTCAAATCAGCGTGATGTGACTAAGACATGTTAGAATATCACGCGTGAGTATCGTACGCATCTACTGCGATTACGTGCTTCCTGCGCGTGCAATTGCATAAAACGTGTTCCGCTTCATGTTTTGAAGTATCGAGACGATACCATCTATCATAGTTTTGAGATTACATTTTGAGAAATACACAGAATGAAATAACAGGGTACCATAGGACAGTCTTTTCAAAAAAGTTCAACATTTCTACTACATAAAAAACTGCGATCATGTTTGCAATTGATAATAATTGATGAAATTATTAATTATTATTATAATTATAATATTTATTATTATTATTATTATTATTATTATAATGTTAAGTTACTATTAATTAGTAGAAAATAAATTATATATGTATCTTACATAAAAATTTTCAATTTAACACAAAACACTATAGAATTGAGAGAACATTCGATAGCAACAAATTTATTATAAATGAAATTGCATTTTAAAATTAAATTTGATATCATTCTGCCACTAGAAAGATATTTTCGAATTTTCAAATTTGTGGAATTTTTAAAAATTTGTGGAAAGCTATATTTTGTTAATTTTCGTTGATCTATTATTTTTATTTCAGTCATGCCAGAAATGTATCAAAATATGATTGGTCAAATTCGATAAATGATACAAGATTCAAGCGCGCGACTGTTAAGAATACTGGATGCAACTTTTCCATTTTCTCACGCGCGATAATTAATGAATACATATGCGAGATGCGGAAAGGAAACAGCTTAGAATCCGAATACATCGTATTCGGATTAGGGTGTCTCATGGCAAAGGGCCGGGTGCATCTGCATTGACGGATGCAGCTTGGCTGCAAAGTGCTGCGCAAAGCGTCGGTAATTTATCTATCTCGTTTTTTATAAGGTGGAGAATATCCCTAGAAGGCATATCCGCATCCTCGAAAGCGTCGCATGATCGATGAAACGCGTATGTCAACGTTCAACTTGTACGACATGGTTAAGAAGTTTCTCGTTAGTGAATATTTCGAGATATTACCAGCGCTCCGTGATGGAAAGCTTGACATTAAGGAAGTTGTAATATGTCATACTTCCATAATTAATCCTTCGTTAACAAGATACAAAACGATTATAGAATTTTGACGTATTTTAAGAAGTATTACTTCGTTATTTATTCATTTACAAGCATATTCGTTAACTTTTATAAATTTTCAATTTATGTTTAATCAATTTACGGTTAATTATGTCATCAACTTGTAAAAATTAATCCAAGTATATTATGATCAATTTTATATTATTGTTTATTCATAAGATAAAAAAGGAATTATATATATCTCTCTCGAATACTGAAACACAATTTAATATATTAAATTTTAATTAATGGTTTATTCCTCAGAAGATACCTTTCGATAAGATATTTTTCATTCTTTATATTGCAATTCAAAGCATTCAATAAAATTAACATTAACATAATATATAATTGCCTAAACATAATTTTATAGTTTTATGGCACACGCTTGGCCTGCGCTTGCAGTCTGCTTTTCGGAAGAATCTCGAGATTCTCAGGCCGTAATAGAGACGTTCGACGATCCAAACTGGTTAAGCCGTATCGACTGTGTGATCGTTTCGAAGGGCGTGGCGGCGATACACTTGAAGATCGTTTGACACAAAAGCCGATCTGCTTCCTCCGGGCCATATTATTAACGTAACGTACTTACACGCTTGATCTCACGAGCGAGATCGAACGAGATCAATCGGAGGCGCCTTCATTCCCGACGAGTTTGAAACACCTTTTTAAACCCGCCGAAAAATCTTACTTTCTCCATGACCGCCCACTTCCTATCTCTATTCGTCTGCGAATTCGTATCGACAATATCGCCACCGGGAAAAATGGGTAGTTCAGATTACATAATAAATAAGAACATTTTTATTTGCGCTATTTTTTTCCTATAAATATTTTATGTCATTTTGCCTTCTAGATCTTGCTTTTTATAAAATTAATAATGATATTATAATATGAATTTTATATAAAGAGTAATATATAAATATTTTATATTATTATTTTGTATTAATATTTTACGTCAAGTATTCTTATATTAAATGTTTCGAGCTAATCTCCATATAAAATATTTAAAAAATTTAATTTTTATAAGAACTCTATTCTCAGAAATTCTCTAGTTATAAATTATTTTCACCAAGAGAGCAAGAATAATTGTAGCAATTTTGTCATAATTTAATAAAGATCAGCTGATAATAATACCAATGTTTTGGTGAATATAAAAATATATAATTCTATTATTACAACACTAAATACCTGCAGTGTAGATACAACATACGTTACATAAACGTCAAGTATTCAAACATCCTAAAAAATCTTATGGATTTCCAAAAGGCATTTAATGAATGGAATGCACTGTTGTGTCTCGTGCAACTCCACTACACACTATCCATTCACGCGCACGTGGACGCGTAAGTCCACGTGACCGTCGTGACTCGCCATTCAACTTCGCGCCACCGCCGCGACGATACGAAATCTTGAAGCGGACTGTACTCGCCGTGCGTACCTTGCGAGGTTTCAAGGCGTGCACCACCTTCGGTCGTAAATATTGCTGTGCCAGGAGAAACGTGACGGAAGCGGCGGTCAGCAATCCGAGGCCCTTCTGGATCCTCCCGAGATCGCGGTCGGCACGCCACGACGCGTACGCACGCGTGACATCGCGGAAGTGCCGTGCGTACGGTGATACGCGTCGCGAGAGGCACGCTATCGTCGCCATTTTCTACGCATGCGACTGGCGCATGCCTGGTCTGCCATGTCTCTTTCCGTGAAACGTCAATTTCTCCTACCCAACGCGGCCAGTGTTGTCGCCAGAAACTCTCGTACCCGGGACAAACGCTGATAGAAATAATTACTTCTATTTTATTTAATACTTTTTCCGCCAATTTCGTCAATATTTGCAAATATTTGATTTAGCATTTGTTACCAATCTAATCAAAATTTTCGAAGAGATAGCATTCTCCTATGTTGCCATCCGGATTATAATGATTATAATGCACGAAAGATTTTCTGTAATTTTGCTATTTATGCAGCGAAATATCTTGGTTATTTTGAGGGTACTATTGGATAATTGTATTTTTAAATTTACGTTTATAAAAGTCTGGAATTTCTAGTTGCGATATAGTCAATTTGTATTAATAGAACGAGATAATTCTTTGTACGTTGGTAACTTTATTAAATGCTGAGAAATAAATTCGATCTGACGACGTGTAATTCGATGAGTTACGAAAACGTTACGATGTTTATAATTAATTACGATAGTGCCAATATTTTTATCTGTCATTAGGAAAATATTATGTATCTTATTAGCGCATCATCATGCCAAGTCACATGCTTATATATATTATAATTTATATTTTCGTTATTGTTCGTTGAAGAATCTAAATGATTATTTTCAAAAATATCTACAATACTTGGAATTCTTTTTTAGATTGCAATATTTATTGTATATGTTTTCTAGAACAATAGAGATATAACTATAATTAATATTATAATTATATTCTTATAAAAAAAATTTTATAAAAAGTTAGAAATATATTTAATATCTAATCTATATATATTCTTAGATATTTTTAACTTTTTAAAATTCTTAACAATTGACACTGACTATACAATAAATATTATCGTTATATAAAATTTCACGTGATCTTTTAACAGTTAACAGTTTAACAGTTAAAAAAACCTTAATTCTTAACATTTAATACTTTTAACATTTAATACTTTTTTAGAATTCTTGCACGAATAGTATTACTGTCAGTAGGGGTGTAGGTAATTACGAATTTTTTTATATTATCCTGACAACCGCATAATCTGATAGAATTTGCTCATCCACTCTTCTTATGGAGTTTTCACACGAGTGATATCGTTAATATCGTATAATACAAGATCATTGATATTGGAGTTTTCACACGAGTGATATCATTAATATCGTAATACAAGAATATTATTAATAACCTGCTTGTAAATTGAAACATTTGTCCAATCAAGAAATGTATGTCAAACGATAAAATTCCACATAACTGCTAATTATAGCGCATTTTCTCTCATTAACCACTTACATTCCGACTTGTCACAACCTAAATAGAAAGATATTCATCCTTAATAATGTCATAAAAAGAAAATTACAACGAAACTATGTCGAGACTTAATGAAAATAGGAAAATTAAATGGAATTTGTAACATTACAATTACGCAAAATCCGCATATCGTTATTTTTGAAAATATAAGATAATTTTACTCTTGTAATTGTTATATTTTGCGAAATTTAAATACATTGTTTATAAAGAATATAAGAATATAAGAAATAGGAAACATTAATAAAATATAAACACTTTTAAATTTGAAGCTTACGAATTTAACTTTAAGGAATAAATTCTTTACCGTTTTTATCATAGATATTTTTGCAAAATTATAGTATGTCTTCAACAATTAATAATATTATTCAAAATATGCAGGGAATAATTAACGGTGTGACGGCCCCTTTAGGTCAGAATCCGATCTATCCTTTGCGAGACGGCCCTTCAGGGCATACCGTAATCACGCATTAATTATGATCGCGCTAGATGGCACGTAACCACATAAAATAAGTCGAGGCAACGTGTGGCCGCTGCTCGTACAACAACCTCCGCTTATTGCGAAAGGAGCGAGGACCTGAAGATTTGCCCTCCACCCGTCCACCCGTCTCTCTCTTGCAGCGTGTTTTGATCTATTTTCCGTGTTTTTAATTAAACGGTTCCTCTATGTCCGCGGCGGATAATCCGGTATTTGTAGTCTATGCGCAGAGAGAAATTATCTTCTGCCAATATAACTCCATATTATCATCCTGCTCAATCATGCGCGGCGCTTTTAAACGGCTGTGTTACGCATTCCAGCCTGCGTCTCTGCCTTACTAGAGCCGGACAGAATTAGCAAAGTTATAAGCGATGCGAGTTGGTCACGCGAAAGATGGCTTGGAAGTAATTACTCGATTGGAACGAAGGCAACGCGACGATTATCTTAGTCGATTTTAGCTACTCATCTAGAAAGCAACATTGCACCAGAATTTGATCTAGGTTACAATCGAGTCAAGTGAACAGGTCAAAGTTCATCGCAAATAATTCTTGAATGAAAATATATATATTTTAATATTATTTTATTTGCCTGGAACATTGAAATTTTTAGCTTCTCGAATATTTATATTCACGAAAGATTGCTTCTGTGAATGATACAAAATTTACTTATGTAACGAAATTTGAAATATTCAAAATTTACGAACGCTTAACAAAAAATTTATTCCGTGAGAATCATTCAAACGATATGAAAATTATATTAAGAATCAATAATCAAGTCAAATTTCAAATTTCTTAATTTAATAAAATGTTAACTATTGTCGACGTGAGAAGAAGCGCATTATAAATAATATTTTTACATTATGATAATAATATTTTTATATAATATTTAATATTTTAAATAATATTTAATATTCTAATATTTAATATTATATTTATGATATAATATTTAATATTTTAAATAATATTATTTATAATATTTAATATTTTATAATAATATTTTTATTATGATACTCGTACGTGTAAAAAGGATTAACTGAGCCGTTTCACACAAATCGCGACGCGTCTATGTGCGTTCCTTGTACCGTTGATAGATAGGAATAGAACTGAAGAGGGTCGTACAGACGAAGGACGTTATATAACGAAATAGTAGCTTCTTCATCCACGTCTCGTGTGACGCAACGCGAAAAGAGTTCGTTTGAGTGGCGCGTGTGCTAAAATTACGCAGACCAGTACACATACTACAGCTTTAATGCGTATCGATCGTGCGACATTTTTACAAATTCTTCAAAGACTTAGAATAATAGTTTTTAATGTTTTCTGTAATGTCAAAAAAGAAAAATTCTAGAAACAGTTTTATGTATTTTCTCTCTAACGCGTCTTAAATTACAATAATATACACAATAGCAAATATTAAAAAAATATCTAGCACACACAAAAGTGGAATCTAACATTATATAAAATTTTAAGCGTGAAAGTAAGAGAAAGTTGAATGTACGTAGAGTCTTTATATTATTGTCAGAAGATAAAAAATAACCTGTACTCTAAGTGGACGCGTATTAATATTCATTAATATTCATAGTATAAATATTGAAAGATTAAAAAAAATATTCGAAAAAAAGCGAAGCGAGTTTTGATCAGGTAAATCTTTTTGACTTCATGCCGCAGCTGCTGTAATTGTCGAATGAGTATAACCGGCGATGCAAGTGTGCATCGAGGTTGCAACTATCTTGTCCATATGCAGGATAAGAGTGCATCGGAGTGCATAATGAGTTTACCGGAGGCTAGAATAGTTGCCGTTGCATTTTAATGTCGCATTTTCTGAAGACTGTCGTAAGACTAAAAAAAAAAAAAAAAATAAAGAAAATAAAAAAAATTAAAATTAAAATAAAAATTAAAATAATTCTTTAAAGACATTTTTTATTGTAGAAGGCTGATTTTAAACTCTTTAAAGAACTTTAAGAACTCTTTTCTACAAGACGAAAACGAAACACTTATTATTATTCATAATTGTTATTTTTACATACGTGTTCATCTATCTTTTAGCTTGCGAAAAATTTGACTTGATTAGATTTCTTTATAAAAAGAATAATATTATTTATCATATAAAATCTCTGAAAACAATTTTATTTTCATTGTCCCAAAGTGTATATTAATTTGAAAATATTTTCAGTGTCCTGAAGTTAATCTGAAAAAATAAATGAGCCCAAGTTTATTTTAATTATAAATGTGATAATGTTTTTCTCCTATTGTAATATGAATATATAAAAAAATATTTCATTAACTCAATTGTTAACCAAATACGACTAAATGGTTGAAAAGACATGCTAAATTTCATTAGTATATTATAATAATATAATAGTAGATAGAAAATTAATTTGTTACCTTAATCTGCTATACAATATGTATTTATATATTTTCTTCTTTTTTATAAAAGCATAATTCGTTTTCATTTTTCTGAAGTTCTTTGTTTTTTAAAGATAGATTTAGATTTTATGAGTTCATCATCAGGTGTTCTAAACCTTTTATTTGTTTGCTGTTCATTAAGTCTATAAACTGTTTTGCCTGTCGTCCTATTAAAATATTCAAAAATGACATTATTTGTAGGATAATTTGATATCCTTCGTTATATATACTGACAGCCAAAAATGTAGCAATGTCTATTGATATGTTGCAATCTGTTATATCTGAAGCAAAAGTCGATATGAGAGAAAGTAGATGATTATCATTTTTATTATGGCTATATGTTTTCAGATATGGTTTCAATAAATTATCAGAAGTTAAATCTTGGAATATTGAGTGAATAGATATTAAAATGTTGTCATTAAGTCTTTCTTTATGAGTAAATGTGTTTAAACTTTTGTGAAATTCTGCTTTACGCCAGTCACACCAGCTGTTGGCTCCAACGGGACAATACAAGTGTTGTGGATTTTCGTCAGTAGAGGCTATGTGATAAAATATTGTCCAAATTGCTTTCTTCATGTCTAGTATATTTTTAGTCTTGCATATCGCATCATTATAATAATTTATTATTTTTTAATAATCTTATCAGTTAGTTCTCCTTGCTTGTTTTTATCGATATCTTTTTTAAGTTCTTGTAATCGTTTCTCCATTTTCTCACTTTCAGCAATGTAACTTTTTTTCTTAATAATAACGTGATATGAATGATTATTTAATATATTTTTAAATGTTTCACTATTTTCCTTTTTGATGTAAGTTGTATACTTTATTCCATATTTTTTCTGTGACTGTAAAAACATTTCTTTTATTGCAGCAATTTCCATAGTTTCAGCTACTTGTGAGGGATTATTGAATATACATTTATGATCTGTGTGATTACAAATCCAATTAATGCACTCGAGTATGCTACTTTTCTCACGAGTATCTATCTCACTATTACAAACTGGACAATCTTTACTTTGTATATTTGTATCAAGCACTTTTTTAGTGAATTCTCCGATGAGTGCAGATACACAAAATAATGAAGAAGAGGTTTTGTCATACAAGCTAGCGCTTGATATCGTTATATTTTCCCTCGACTTTTTCATTTGGATTTCAACAGTCTTTTGCATCTCGTTTTTAACAGCTCTTCTCGTAACCGATTCATATATTGTTTTCGATACAGTATGTATATTTTGAAGGGAACAATTAAAAAAAATGTTATGAGGAAATCCTGAACTAATATCCATTAAATTACAAAATAGTTTAATGCCTGTTTGTCCGATGCCCAAAAGTCTCATAACAAATACAAATCGATTATTAATTTCAAAAGATTGATTATCAACAGGACAGGAATCTATTGCATGTACGTTACATTTACATGACATAAGTATTCTAAACCCAAAGCCTTCGAAATCTGATTTTTTAAAATTTATTTCACTATGACACTTACGACATATAATTATGGTACTTATCGTACTGAAAACGGTATAGAATTCGAGTATGCAGTAAACATAGTCTTGAGGAAAAAGTTCATAATGATTCTCTTCTTGTAATATTTTCGCAGATGTACTAGCAGAATTAGTATTTAGCTCTGAATTAGATGAATCTTTAGAAAATTTTTGTGTTTCAGCTTTATTTGAGCACTCCTGAATTTTTTCTAAGTTTTTATGATCCATTCTCTCTATTTTGCAGATAATTTTCTATTTTCGAGACTCGAAGGAAAACTAAATTACGTTAAAAGTTTCTAACTAAAAGTTTCTAACTAGAAGGAGGAGAAGAAGACATAATAAAACATCGCAGATGTATTATTTGAGAAACAAAACAAACAAAAAAGGAAAGAGTCAAAGAAAGAAAAGAGAAGAAAAGAAAATATGCTTACCATGCTAGAATTCTTTGACCTTCATATCGATTCTTTCAAATTTGAAGAAATTAAAGTTTAAGATATTAAATTATTTGAATTTCGTGAAATTACTTTGATATCTTTTTAAAACTATAAAGATTTAAAAAATGTAAAAAAGGAATCAATCGTTTTTTGATTTTGTACAATAAAAACTTTCTTTAAATAATAAACTTGAAAAATAATTTACAAATTAAAAAATTTTTACTAAGTTTCATCAAAATTTCAAATAGTTTCATTAAAGTAAGATATTTTAAATTCAACTATACATCTATGTCGAGAGATTTTATGTTTTATAAATTTCAAGAAAAAATTAAGCATATTATAAGAATCACCTCAAGATATTTAGAAATTATAGTTTACCACATGTCTATAATATCAGCGATATTTATAGACTTCTCAGCGCGTTCATATCTCCATTATAATTAAATAATTTAAATAATTAAATTCGATATAGCTCGACTTGCATAGGGGACATAGCGAATAGAAAGCTCTTGATAATAGCAATAATGTAAATAACACTATAAGAAAGTATCGATATTCTCTTAATAAACTTTGATAAGATGGTAAAGCGGTCTATAATGCTATTATATACCTATCTTTAGGACTCAATAAGAAGATGCAGTTCACGATTAGGATTGTCCATGATACTAGAGGATAGAATCGATTATGATAAATATCTATGATAATCATCGATTTTATGCGTGCAAAATACTTAATCATAACCTGTTCAATTGGAGATAGGAAAAATTTATGCATAGGTGCTAAGGCACTTTATCAGCAAATATGATGTGGTTGATAAAATTAGCTATCATCGAAGGATCATCTAAATGTATTAAAACTTATATAAGTTATTTTAATATTTTATATATTAAAATGAGATTGATGTAAAATAAGTCATCTAATCAAATAGATTACATCATATGAGCAAACTGTGATATTAATAATGTCACAATTAACATGTTATTGCATATTTCAGACATATTATTGCATATAAATTTTATATTTTATTTTACTAGAAAAATAATGGAAAGACTATTATATAAACTATTCATATAAACAGCTCGGACAAATTAAACAATATAAAACAAATAGGGTCGAAGAAAGAAAAAGTAACATTAAAAATAATAAAAATATTAAAAACAATTCAAATAATAAGTTAAATAACAAAAATAAAATTTAAATACTTGGATGTTTCGATTACACAGAACCTTCTTCAGCAAAAAATTCTATTAAACAAAATTTGTGATAAAGACATATAGAAATCATATAATAAATAACGGAGAAACTTAACATAATACATATGAAAGAAAACAAGAACGATACCAAACAATAAGATAATTAAATAAAATTCATAAAACTAATATCGCAGCGAAACATATAATTAAGTTATAATTATAGATGGAATAAAATTAATAAATGAAAATAAAATAAAAAGTCTAGAATTTATATAAGTGTAGTCAAATAAAATAAAATATATAGAAGTCAAATTTTCACAAAGATAAAGTCCGTTTTTTCTTAATAAAATTATGAATAATGGAATGGATACTGGAAGGTATGAATGTGTACTCTTTGACGATTAAATTATTCTTAATATTCTAAATATTAAGTATTTATCTGGTTTAATTAATTCTTTCAATTGTTTTCTAAAACATTTTTACAATTGTTTAACGTGAAACTATATTAAATTAATAAATGGGTAAGAATAATAAATGCGCTAGAGAAAATCTACTATCTCGAGAATCGATTATGATTAGGGATGGTGCACGTTTTATGGCTCATGTTTGCAGTTTTGCCTGTGGGTCGAAAGTTAAAACGGAAGGCATTTATCGAAGAACGTTAATTATAAATTGAAAGATGCGCATCGCAGACCGAAGGTCAGGGTTATAGTTATGTTAATAGCGAAGATTATGATTACGATCATAATCTATAATCATAAATGGCTAAATACCATGAGAGATTGGCAATATAAGAGTAGCGATGGTGGCATGCTTCTTAGATATGCGAATATTTTTACGAAATTTCACGAAAAAAATTAATTTTTCGTTATAACATAATAAATATTTTGAAGCTCATATTTTTAGTTGTTTTACTTATTATCATAATGTCGACATTTATTGTATGCATAATAAAAATATATCATTTAATCAAAACGTCAATAATAAATTTTCTAGAAATTTATTGATATAATAATTTATAATTTTAAATATTAAATATTATTTAAATTTAAATATTAATTTACTTAATTAACTTCTTATGAATTTTATTTTTATTTTTTTATTTTCAATATTTAAACTTATAATTAGAGAACATTTTGTATTAAATAGAATGTTTAATCTAGGGGAAAAATGTACACACGATATCGATGATAGAATTTAATTGATATTCTAACAACTATATATATTATATATAGTATATTTTTACTTGGAAAATACAATTATTATGAGACAATTATTCGAAGAGCACGAAGATTGCATAAATACAGGGTAGTGGATAATGCACCGCAATCTACGTACTTTTCCTGTGCAGCAGAGCGACTTTTATACTTTATCGTGGCATCGATCATTAATTATAGTACGGGACAACAATGGGAGGAGATGCAGACAACAAAAGAAGAGGGGTGTGAGCGCTCAATATTCTCTATTTCTACATGCTTGCAAACCACACGTGTACGAGATGTAATAGTTTCCGGCGTTCGATACTACCGTATTATACATTTTAAGCTTATTTGCGTTCCAAAGATGTTGATAAAACATGCTTATCTTATATTATGCAATAAATAAACATAATTTGTCGTAATAACAAAATATTTATGTATGTCGTATATGGACTAGTCAGCAAACATGTCTATTCAGAAAGTCTGCATAATTTATAATTAAACTCCTTAGGAATCGTACATGAGCATTTAATAAATCTGATTTAATAAATGTTGATCTTAATCAGTAAAATTACGCTCATATGTTGCAAGTGAAAGATACGCATATCTAATCTTATTTTCTGGCTATACTGCGATTACATACATGTATAAGCAATTATTGCTTGTTAAACAAGGATTTATACCTGTGTACTAATCTTATTAAAATAGGTACATGTAATTTCTAATCATCTGTATAAGCTTATTACGTTAATATAAGATATAACAATGACTGTCTCATATATGTAAATTACAATATTTAGATGATTCTGTAATGATATCTAACTTCATTAAACACATGTTAATTACATCATGTAATCCTATATTACAAAATATTTCCACGAGGATTTGTGCAATTATGTTTAATGTTTGAGTGGAATTGTGTTTAAGATTTGCGTTAAGTGTGTAACAAGAAATCATATTACACTTACCTGATAACATTTTGTGAAAACTCCTGTAATCAATATTTCACTTCATTTTGTATGAAATCAAATTTAATAATCTCTGGATTCAAATATAAATATATTTTTCTTTAATTTTAAAGAAAAAAATTATTAATTTCTTTATTGATGACGGTGTCGCATTTTGCATTGTTGAAGATCTGTTAACAATTATAAATATTAGTATAAATCATTTGATAACATAAAATAGTAATCAATAATTGTTCTGATGTCTTACTCTTAACTAAAAATATAATGCGATAGATTTTTAAATACTGTCATGTCATAATAATATTAAAAAA